CTTATTTTGTAAAGGATGAGCACTAGAAACATGCTGGTGTGTTGTATGGATTAGAGGTTTTTTGTTAATTATAAAATCATTATAAAACTTAAAAATAATGAAAATTCATTTCTATAATAGATTAAGGAACTAGCCCGTGGGCCGTGACAGAATCAAAGTTCTCTCTTCCAAATTTTCTGATGATGTTTATGAACATAATTAGAAGAAAAAAGGAAAAAAAATCTCTGCTGCTCATGGATTTATTATGTTTATTTCTTTGATTGTTTTCAGCCTATTATAGCCAGAGCTTTAATAGAGGATTGGTGTTGCCTGAGTAGAGTTCACGGAATGTAAGGGTTCTTGTGGCCGTAAGTATATTTTACTTTTATTTTTTTGTCTGTTCAATTATTCCTTTGTTCTTACTTTTTTAATGGAGTTCATCTCATGACTTGATAGATATAAATAAATATTCTGTGTAAATGTGGTGTTAAACTACATTCATTTTACATATACTGATGGATTGCTTTTCAGTTTTTACACTTGCTTGTGGGTGCAGTTCTTGCAAATCATTTTTCTCCCAGCAACTGGCCATTTTTAAGGAAGCAAAACTTGCAAGGTAATCTGTTTGTTTGACATAAATGTAAAAAGAAAAATGTTTGACTTATAATGTAATATGCCTTTTAATTTAGTAGTATTTCAATTTTTAAACTGGTGTGATATTTAGCAATTGGTTAAGTTATATATTAAGGATATCTATAACTACTTTCCAGGCATGTTATATGTATAGACGTATGAGATTTGTATTATTTAATACACGCAGCTTTCTATTCGTTTATCTGATTATCTCCTTATATGTCAAAATATTTGTGGCACAAAAACTTCCAAAGCAAGTATGCATTCATATGATTCTTTTATGATATTGAAGATGTTTATGCTCATGAGACAAAGAATCTACTGATATTGTCACAGCAGGCTCTGATTTACTACAGAAATTGGACTAATTGGCTTAAATAAGTAAATTAATTTACTTATCTAGTTTTTTCTTCTTCTTGAACCTTGTCAGATGGATGTAGTAATGGATAAATCATGGATTGATATGCCAAGGAATACAATAGAATATCTAAATGGATTAAATAAATTCTTAGATTTTTCTTTTGAAAATCGATCTGTCAATGGTGCAATAAGGTGTCCATGTCCTAAATGTCATTTTAGTAAATGAAAAACTAGAGATGTTGTGTTTGACCACTTGATTTGTAAGCAAATTTCATGTCAGGAACAATACGTTTCTTGCCTAAACATAGATCAATTAATATCAAGGATTGTGTGAGTTGCTTAAATGTCATCAGAATTAGGCATAATAGCAAGCACATGAATTTATAGATTTAATATAATGTTTTTCTCTAAAAATAAAAGTGAATCTGTGTTAAGATCATACATTGTCTAAGAATAAGATCAAGGTACTCCAAATAAGACTTAAATTCAAACTTTGGTGATTGTTATCGTAACTTTTATGAATAAAAAATATTTATTTATTTAATAAGACTTATATAAGATATAATTATTGATAATAAAAATGTTATATATCTTCGATTGTGAAGCCTTCTTAATGGATCAGTTGTGATTGATTACTTCAGCCACTCATTGGTGCTTTGAGTTCACATATTGATTTATATATATTGATCGAAGTGGAAGTGGAGTTTGAGTTGGTAAGATTGGTCTACACAATATATATAACTAATAGCTAGTTTCTTCAGAAGGAGAAAATCACCGATGAAAATTTTGAACCGTTATTAGTACTTGGTTCAAAGTGTCATTAACACTACGATGCTTTTGTGTTGAGAGTTTGTGGGAACTGAAAAAGAAGTTGTCTTCTTCTTCTTCTTCTAACGTGGAAGGGAGACAATGAATGCTTGTAAGACTCAAATATAAAGCTAACTGCGTTAATTGAGGATTTAGTTAATGCTTTATAATGCGAGTTTGTGTAGTTGGTTGTCTCCCACTTGGCCACTTCAGTTCTTCAACAACGGTTTTGAAATTTCATTTGTAGGAATGTTGTTTAAGAAATTATTAATATTTAAGAGTCTTGTTAATTACATCTTTATCTTAAATGATCCCACAAGAATTACATATTATAAAAAATATCATAAAATGACACATATATCATATAGTGACATATACCATATCTAAATAATCTCACAAGAATGACACACACTATAAAAATTGTCACTAAAAATTACTTTTATTTATATAATAAATATAATATATATTGATATATTATTCAAAAATATATGCATAAACTATAATGATACAAAGATATTAAAAAGTTGTGTTAGAGATAAAGTAAGTGGTTTTTAATCTTATTGAAAATTTTAAAAAATATTGTTTGTTAACTATTTCATTACATGAGATCATGTTTTATCCTAAATTCTAATATAAAATTTTTATTTATAAAAAAATATCATTATCTTAAGATTATTTATTAACGAATTAATATTATGAATCTTTTATTACAAATCACACAAAAAAATATTGAAAATATAGTAAAACTCATTAATAATTTTTAATATATTTTTTCGCTTTTGATTCTTTGATCAGTGTGCTAGGACTTGGGAGCACTAGTTGACACTTTTCAAAATTTAATCGAGTGAGCAACTCCACTTGCTAATGTTAAACACTTAGAACATAATTGGAGTGCTTTTGTTTAATGGATGGATGAATGAATGAATTAGTTTCAACAATACACTAATAAGTTGGGTATGAAGTAGGTATATACGCTAATCAACGTATCAACCGAAATGCAAGTTCATTTTATATATTCTGTAGCACACAAACAGTATAATTATGTGTAAAAGATTAATTGAGGCATGCATTAAACAAAATATTTGAACGATAATAGTACTATAAACTTTTCAATTTTCTATTAAAATTTTTTAATTTTCATATAAGATACTAGTTTTTTTTAAATATATCATAACCTTTAAATATATATATATATATATATATATATATATATATATATAAATTTCATTATTTAAATACTCTTAGTTAAATACAATTTCAAAATATATTCTTTTTAGTTTCATTTCATATTTTACTTTTTGTTAACTATCATGGAAGTTTATTAAAAAAATTATCAAGTGTTTTCTTATCGATATAGTTTTTTGATGTATTCTTATTTTCTAGTTACATATTATAGGTGTAAAATATTCCCTGACATTAACAATAACTAATTTTTACTGAAAAAAATGATTGATCATGTTGATGTTTCCATTGGAACGAGAGAAAATAATAGAAGAAAAGAGAAAAATTGAAAAATAATATTCTTTCAATTAATTAGGAGAAATAACTAAAAAAATATGTGAGCCTCACCAATTCAGTCTTATTCTAAAATGAAAAAAAAAATGATAGAGAAATGTTGTTTTATTCATTATACGACTAAAATGTCATTATATTTGTACACCTTTTATATATATATATATATATATATATATATATATTTATAGAGATATTTATATTAATGACATTTTATATACTTAATTAATCTTCTTTCTTTTCATATTTTTCCACTCAATTAATTTACAAGATTATTTTATTTTTCTTTTCTTTATTTTTATTTTTTTATTCTAAACTAAACACACTCTTTGTAAGATATATTCTTTTAGATGCATTTTTTTATTCAGTTTTTAACTTGTGTTGTTCCTTAAAAAATTCGAACTCAGTTTTACTTGGAGTCTTGGGCTTATAATATGTTGGTCGATTTATTCTTATTTAATTACACTCATGCCATCTATTTCAAATAAAGTAATTTTTTTTTCTTACTTTCACTTTTGAATCACCATGTATCATAATTCTACGATTTTGATTTTTCAAATTCTAATTGTGATGTGTCAATTAGTCTCACAAGTATCCTTTTATTTACGGTTAAGTCCCTTTCTCATCATTTGTTAACTATTTAACAAAATTTGTTGATATGTAATTGCTTATTAATTTTGGTGGGATGTTGTAGACGTTGGAATAATCTATTTCTTGTTAATTAGCTATTTAGAAGAGATTTGCTACAATATTGTTGATGTAAATCCATGATCTTTAGGTTGCATTATTTTCATACCATATATATTGTGGATACTCCAGTTGTATAGGTTAAATATTTTCATTCCATTGATGTATATATATTTGGGAAGGGATCAAGATGCAATATACCGAAAAACACATAACATAATTCCTTTTATGTGAAATGTAATTTTATTTTGAGCCAACATGACACCATAGTTACGATTTGAGGAACTCATTGAAACCTTGGTAGCAAAACTGACATAGGTTTTGACCCAAAATCAGACCAAATGTTGCTAGCCACGAACGAACTTTCTGTTGCACCAATTGTTATCAAGCTTGATGATACCAATTATGCTTTATGGTCTCAAGTGGTTGAGATGTATATCTCAAGAAAGAACATGGTAGGGTTCATAAATGGAGACATTTCCCAATCTGAACCAACAGATCCTACCTTCAGAAGATGGAGAACATAAAATGCTAAAGTGAAAAAATGGCTAATCAATTATGTGGATCAAGATTTGGTAAGAAATTTTATCCTTTTCAATAGCGAAACGGGTATGGGGTTCAATTGTTGTAACTTACTTTGATGATTTTGACATCTCTCAAGTATATACCTTGAAGAGACATATAAATAACATGAAACAAGCAGGATGGTCCCTGACCCAAATATAAAATCACATGTTTTTCTTTTTAAGTTTAAATTACAAAAGAAATACAATTAATAAATTAAAATCTTTTTATCTTTTGAATACTTCTATTTAAATTTTAAAATACATATTTTTATTTTTAAAATCCCGAATAGACTATAGAATTTGTTTATTCATAATATAACTTAAAAAATGCTTTTTAAATGTAAATCCTAGAAATAAAACAAATAAATTTTTTTCTCTTAAAATTTTCTATCCAATTTAAGTTTTAAAATTTTTACCCTCCCTAATTTTCATTTTCTATTTTTTTTCCTCTTGTCCAAACTGCGTGAGTCACACATACTCCAGCATGCAGTAGCCGTGACGATGCGAAGCAAAATTCTTTTATTTGTCGCTGTTTCCGTTTCCGTATGGTTCCTTGGAACAATGAACACTCACGATAATCGATTCAATTCCAAAGGAAAGTGAGTAATACCTCATTACCCTCTACGCAACACCATTTTCACTCTATTTTCACCTTACAAACACTCGATGCTTAGGGTTTGCCAATTCTTTCGATTATTATGTGTATTTTCTTATAATAAATTTTAATTTTGTCTAAGTATGTTGTGATTGCATTGTGATTCTTTTGCTGGAATTCGCAGATTGACGCGTTACTAAACTTGGTCGAAAAATTGTATCGAACAATGTTATAGTCATCGTTGTTTTCATTCGAAAGCTGAGTTGTTAGTGTGCTCAACAATGGCTGCTGTTAGGTCTTATTATGTAAGGCGAATAGGAAGCACAATCAAGGTTTCTTTTAATATGGAATTAGTTCAACGCTACCACTATCACCATAGTATGTGTATTGCAAGGTTGCCAAGTGATTCGCTGAGTCATCCTTATTATAAAGCAGAATTGCAGTTTGCTAAGAATCAGTTTAGTAATTTGGCTTTTGAATCCCGTGGAAGTAGTCACCAATTTGGTACTAGGGCCAATGTCTCGTTTAATCCTAGATTCGCTAGCGATTGTTTTCGGAGTGCCCTTCCTTTTGCTTCCGCGAGCCACATGTTGAATCGCCGGATGTATTCATCGTCGGTGGGAGGCAAGGGAAGTAGAGATGGTGGCACGGAAGTTGCTGCTGGTTCTGGTGCCAGTGACATGAATACCACGGGTGATTCTGTTGTTGGCGGTGATTGGGTTGGGAGGATTAAAGATACTTGGCAGAGTGTGGTAGATGCAGCATCATATGCTGGACAAAAGGTTAAAGAAACTTCTGATGATCTCATTCCATATGCTCAGCAGTTGCTTGATTCACACCCATATCTTAACAATGTGGTTATTCCGGTTGGTGGTACTTTATCGGCTACTATAATAGCCTGGTTCTTGATGCCTAGGATTTTGAGGAAGTTTCACAAATATGCAATACAAGGTCCCGTTTCTCTATTGCCAGGAAGCATGTCTGGGGAGCCAGTTCCGTATGAGAAAAGCTTTTGGGGTGCTATGGAGGATCCAATGCGATATTTAGTTACCTTCATGGCATTCTCACAAATGTTAGTGGGTTATATACAGTTAGTCATCTTTTTTAGAAGTGTCATTTTGTTTACCATATGTGCGTGTATGTGACAGCTTACTTTGATTTCTCCAGTGGTGTAATGGTTGCTCCGACAACTATAACCTCACAACATGTTGCACCCTTTTGGAGGGGTGCGGTGATAGTATCATTTGTATGGTTTTTGCATAGATGGAAAACAAATGTTTTTGCTCGGACATTGTCCGGTCAAAGTTTACTTGGACTCGATAGGGAGAAATTGCTTGCTCTAGACAAAATCTCATCTATTGGTCTATCCGTAATTGGTGTAATGGCTTTGGCTGAGGCTTGTGGTGTGGCCGTGCAATCTATTGTGACTGTTGGTGGTATCGGAGGTAAGTATTAAATTTAATTGAATCTGATCTGTTTAAATTTAGATTTTAGAATTTTTTAGCATCTCTTCTTTTTCTATATCTTTTGTTTTCTTTAATGTTTATGGAGGCAGGAAAACTCTTGCTGAGACTTAAGATTTGAATTTGTGGCCCCAAAAAACTGCTCAGCTCACAGCTGCAGTTATATATATATATATGTATATGCAGAAAAGATACATATCAAGACAAGATCTAGCCTATCGACCTAGACTACCCTATGAGTGGTGGGAGGCAAAAACAGCTTTTATAAAAGCTGTATAACAAATATTAAACAACTGTTTTAACACTTCCCTTCAACCTGGAGCATATAAATTGTATGCACCAAGCTTGGAATATATAAACTGAATTCTAGGTCCTCTTAAAGAATTTGTTAGAATGTCTGCAAGCTGGTTATTAGAGCTAATAAATTCGATGATAAGTTCCTTGGACAGCAGTTTCTCCCGAATGAAATGACAATCAATCTCTATGTGTTTGTTTCTCTCATGAAACACCGGATTAGATGCAATATGAAGGGCTGCCTGATTATCAAAATATAACTTCATTTGCTTAACTTCACAAAATTTTAATTCTTGAAGTTGTTTAATCCACATAGTTTGCAAGTAGCCGGAGCCATAGATCTGTATTCAGCTTCTGCAGTAGACCAGACAACAACACTTTGTTTCTTGCTGTTCCAAGAAATAATATTTCCTCCAATGGAGATACAATATCCTGTGGTGGATCTCCTATCTATGGGGCATCGAGCCCAATCTGTAACAGCCCAATTTTCACTGGGTCAAGAGCCCAATTAAGGTGGTTTAGTAGCCTGGAACGGGCCGTTCCAAAATTAGAACGGGCCGTTCCAAATTACTAAATAGACCTACTTTTGGTAGCCAGGAACGGGCCGTTCCGGATTTGGAACGGGCCGTTCCAAACCATTAAATTTGCCTATGTTTCTTCGTTGGGAACGGGACGTTCCGGTTTACAGAAATGACCTTTTCACCTAATTGAGAACGGGTCGTTCTAGAGTTGAGAACGGGCCGTTCTAAAATATGACCGTTGTAAGTATTAAATGCACCCCAGAACGGGCCATTCTGGATGTGATTTTACCCATGATTTTAGGGTCCAGAACGGGCCGTTCCGGCGAAGCCTGATGCCTATAAATTGAGCTCGCCTTTAAATTGAGCTCTCTGCCACTCTCAAAAGGCACACCTCTCATTTTCTGATTTCTTTTTTTCTGCTCTCTTTTCTTTCCCTCTACTTTTTGCTTCAGACCGAGGGGAATCCAGCGGAGGAGATCAACCAGATCCTTAGTTTCAGCTACTGTTTATCCAGGTACGGGGAAAAAGGAGAGATTTATGTGTAGAGTCACATGAGGGAATGGGTGGAGAAGAGTTCCTGTAGAAATTTTAATAATTTTATAATCATGATCTGGTGAACAAGTGTCGAGTCTATGATGAGGACAACCGTGCTAGAGTAACTCATTATAAGAGTGGAGGACCCATGAGGAATCATAATAAGTTTGGGTCATCTAGTAAGGGTAAGCCTTAGACCAAGTCTGTTGGAGATTCAAGTTTTAAAGTGAATAACCAAGGTTCTTTGCAACAAAGGAGTCAAGCTCCAATGACTAGCCAAACTTCTAAAGGGGGAAGTGTGGGTTCTATTCCACACAACAACTGCTTCAAATGTGGAGAGCCAGGTCATAGGGCATATGAGTGTCAGGCATCAAAAGTAATGTTTTAATTGTCAAGAGAAAGGACACAAAGCTCGTGAATGCCCTAAGAACAAGAAAGGAACAACAGAAGTTGGAGAGAGCGCTAGCAAACCTAGGGCGATGGGAAGGGTGTTTGCCTTGAGTGGTGCTGAAGCTACTCAATCCAAAGACTTAATCCAGGGTATGTGTTTCATCGATGAAACTCCTCTAATTGTCTTGTATGACTCTGGTGCGACTCACTCTTTCATATCGCATGCGTGTGTGTCCAAATTAAAATTACCTGTTTCTGCTTTGTCTTTTGAATTAATAGTAGAGACACCAACTAGTGGTTCAGTTTCTACTTCTGATGTTTGTTTAAAGTGTCCTTTGAGTATTGATGGTAAAAATTTCATGGTTGACTTAATTTGTTTGCCTCTAAGTCAGCTAGATGTTATTCTGGGTAGGGACTGGTTATCTTCCAATCATGTTCTTTTGAATTGTACTGATAAATCTATTGTTTTTGGTGAGCCTGTTAAAAAAAGTGAGTAAGGATTATTTGACTGCCAACCAAGTTAAGGTATCTTTACAAGAGGATGCCCAAGTGTACATGTTGTTAGTTTTTTTGAATTCTGAGACTAATATTTTGGTGAATGAACTGCCTGTTGTGTGTGACTTTTCGGATGTCTTCTCTGATGATATGTCTAGCTTACCACCTACAAGAGAAGTAAAGTTTTCCATAAACTTAGTACCAGGAACAAGACCTATTTCTATTGCACCTTATAGGATGTCACTCGTAGAGTTAGTGTAGCTTAAGAAACAAATAGAAGACTTGTTGGAGAAGGGGTTTGTGAGGCCTAGTGTATCACCTTGGAGAGCACCCGTACTCTTAGTTAAGAAGGATGGTAGCATGAGATTGTGTGTAGATTATCGCCAATTGAATAAGGTAACCATTAAGAATAAGTATCCATTACCTAGGATAGATGATCTTATGGACCAGTTGGTGGGTGTTTGTGTATTTAGTAAAATTGACCTTAGATCAGGGTACCATTAGATTAGAGTTAAGGGTGAAGATGTACCTAAGACAACATTTAGGACTCGTTATGGACTATGATTTTGATCTTAGTTATCATCCGGGCAAAACCAATGTGGTGGCTGATGCTTTAAGTAGGAAATCTTTACATTTGTCTTCCCTTATGATTAGAGAGATGAATCTTTTTGGCTCAAATTAGAGATTTAAGTTTGGCTTATAAGGTTACCCTTAGTAGTGTGAGACTAAGTATGACTTGAGTAACGAATAGATTGTTAAAGGAAATTGGAGAAGCATAATTAGTTGATTCATTTTGGTGACAAGATATGAGGCTATAGGATAAGGTGATGGATAAGAGTTTGACTTGAGTGTAGATGGACTGGTGAAATTAGAGATTTGATATGTATACCTAGTGAACTTACGCTTAGGTGCTTGATCTTTAGAGATGATCATAAAAGTAAAACTAATATTGTGGCAGATGCCTTGATTATGATGACCTCTGATATATCATTTTTGATGATTTAAGGGTTGGATTTGATTGAAGAATTTAGAGACTTATGCTTAGTGTGTGAGATTATCCTTAGGAGCATTGAATTGATTATGTTGAAAGTGACTAGTGAATTAATGGATGAGATTAGAGAAGCCTAGGAGTTAGAGCCTTTCTTAGTGAACCAAGTGGAAAAGATTGGTAGGAGTATAGATAACCTTTTCTGAGTAGAAATCGATGTTGTTTTGAGGTGTAAGAACAAATTTGGGTGCTTAGTAACCTTGAATTAAGAAAGATGATTCTAGAGGAAGGACATAAGAGTACACTTAACATTCATTTAGGAGCTACTGAGATGTATCGGGACCTTAGAAGGATATATCAGAGTGGTGCAACGGAAGCATGGTGGCCTAAGATAAAGAGAGGAGTAGAGGAATTTGTATACTCTTGTTTAGTATGCTAGAAGTCTTTAGGAATTTTTGTAGTACTTAGACGTCCCATTTTAGAAGTGAGATAGTAAGTGGATAGACCTTAGTTGTAGGTTTGTTTAAGACGCTTAAGAGATTGATTCTCTTTGGGTTATAGTGGATAAACTCGCCAAGTTTACTTGTCTTACCCTTGTTGATAATAGACATTCCTTGGTGAAATTCATAGAGTTGTACATCTATAAGGTAGTGAGGTTGCATAGGAATTAGAAAGCAAGATGCGAGGAGTCTACTATTGCAAAAATTTCGGGGACAAAATTTCATAAAGGAGGGGAGAATTGTAACAACCCAATTTTCATTGGGCCAAGAGCCCAATTAAGGTGGTTTAGTAGCCTGGAACGGGCTGTTCCAAAATTGGAACGGGCCGTTCCAAATTACTAAATAGACCTACTTTTGGTAGCCAGGAACTGGCCGTTCCGGATTTGGAACGGGCCGTTCCAAACCATTAATTTGCCTATGTTTCTTCGTTGGGAACGGGACGTTCCGGTTTACAGAAATGGCCTTTTCACCTAATTGAGAACGGGTCGTTCCAGAGTTGAGAACGAGCCGTTCCAAAATATGACCGTCCTAAGTATTAAATGCACCCCAGAACGGGTCGTTCTGGATGTGATTTTACCCATGATTTTAGGGTCCAGAACGGGTCGTTCCGGATTTGGAACGGGCCGTTCCGGCGAAGCCTGATGCCTATAAATTGAGCTCGCCTATAAATTGAGCTCTCTGCCACTCCCAAAAGCCACACCTCTCATTTTCTGATTTCTTTTTTTCTGCTTTCTTTTCTTTCCCTCTACTTTTTGCTTCAGACCGAGGGCAATCCAGCGGAGGAGATCAACTAGATCCTTAGTTTCAGTTACTGTTTATCCAGGTACGGGGGAAAAGAGGAGATTTATGTGTAGTCACATGAGGGAATGGGTGGAGAAGAGTTCCGGTAGAAATTTTAATAATTTTATAATTATTTCTGTTTGAAGAATTATTGATATTATTATATTCTGTATGTATTTAGGATTATGGATATATGATTAATTTGTAAAAATGATGCTCTGGGAAAAAGAACGAAATCGTAGAAAAGTGTTTGAGTTAGGTTTTGGAAAAATTGGGGGTCTTGTTATTTGATTTAATATTATATTAAATTGGTGATTCAATTGAGTATTAATTTATAAGTATTATTATTACATTATATGGTAAAAATTGATGATCTATATGAGGATTCATGGTGAAGTTCTTGAGGAGTATATTGTGAATCACTATTTTTTTTTGAATTTTGTGTATGTGTTGTGGACAAGGTTATCGAATAACCGTTAT